GAGCTGCTTGCTCCTCCGGAAGATATAGCGGCCTACTGGCCTCTTGGGCGGTGACTTCCTAGGCCAAGCGGCCTCCCAGCAACCGGTACCTCCTCCCTTTCAGAGGGAAACATCATTGCAGGCTCTGCTATCACATGGACAGGCCCTAGACTCGGGCTACTTGAACTGGTACCGTCCTACCTCTAACCTACCGCTACTGGGCCTCTGAAAATGCCAACTTTTTGTCTTGTTCCGCTCGGCCTCCGGTACCCGACACTTCTACCACTACCTGAGTGGTACCGACCTACCTGCTACTTGAGTGTTTTTCCCGCTGCTCTAAGTGTTGCGGGCCTACCCCCGCTACTTGAGTGCCTTCCCCACTGCAACCCTCAAGGTCACGGCCACAGGTAGGTACCGGCCCTGCGGGGCCTTTCAAACAACAAGTACCCTTTGCAGGTCACACACACACTCAGCCGACAAGCACTCAGACCGGCACGCAACCCAGCAGGCACGCACACACACACAGACTTGGAAACCACAGAAGAATGTGGGAATCTCAGCAAGGCATTCATTCCAGCGGCAAATCCCAGAAATCAGCAGTGTTCTCAGTCTGTGTTTTCGCGGGTCGTTACAAAGCAGTAGAAGAGGGATTCGGACATCGATTCTGGTTCAGCCATTCAACATTATTATTATTAATTCCATTTTATTGTGAAATAAGAGGGGAGCAGATAAGGAGGAGGAGAGTGGTTGGCGAGAAGAAGGGAATTGTTATTGGTCTTCCTGGTGTACATCTTCTTCTTCTTCTTCTTCTTCTTCTTCTTCTTCTTCTTCTTCTTCTTTCCCTGTCTCTCCTCTCTCCTCTCAATTTCATTTATTTCTTTTTGCAATTGGACGGCATTGTGCTTTCTCATGAATTTGTACTTCGAAATTGGCTGAACCAGCATCGACGGATGGTGCAATTAGGGTAAGGGGGTCAAAACTGAAATTAGGGTTTGGGAGTCAAAATTTATGTTCTTTGTTTGGGGGGGGAGGGGGATCATAACATAGTGGTGGTTTAACGAGTTCAAAACTGAAATTAGGGTTTGGGCAACTTTGGGGGTGAAATTTTATGTTGTTGTTTTTTCTTTCTTTTTTTTTTCGCTATTTTTTTTGTTTGGTTCAAGGTTGCTGTGTGTCAAATTTGGTCTCATTTGGAGCATTGGAAATTCCTCTGCTGAGATTTCTGAAATTTCTAAATATTTCTGAAATTGGATGTTGGTGAAATTTGCATGAAAGGGGCACTTTTCCCTTCTTGTTTTATAGGGGGGAGGAGCCGGGGGGGGGGAGGTGTTCCCATTAGCTAGTGTGGTCTCCACTCTCTGAATTGGTGGCAAGTTTGGTTAAAATGACCCCTTTGGGTTTTGTTATAAATGGCATGAGAATTTGATAAGTTGTCTGAAATCAGTGAAATGAAAATTTAGGCCTCCGTTAACCCACATGTGGTTAGCGGGGACCCCCAGTTTCAGCTCCAGACTAACAGGTCCAAAACTGAAATTAGGGTTTGGGCCCTTTGGGGATCAAATTTTATGGTTTTAATAACTTTTTATGCTCTCGTGTGAGTATATGCTTGTAGAGGTCCTTGGCGAGTGGGATATGGAGGATGTCATGAGAGTCTTTTCTGCGAGTACACCGGAAAGCACAATGAGAGGCTGCTCTCTAATCAGCGCCGGATCTTCGCAGTGAGCCCTTTTTTGTTCCCGTAACCTGCCGCAGCTGCCCTGTCTGTCGACTGAAGAATTTCGGGCCAGAGGCCTATTCAGCAGTGTCTCATGACACACATAGATCTATAAATTGCTGTCTAACAGGGTACCAGAGAACCCCCGCGCCTATTCAGCAGTGTTTCACGAAGGTGGCACCAGGGTGCTCTGTTACTCACGCCGGAACCGTTCTTTTTTCCCTCTCTTTCAGTGTTGCATACCCCGACAGTTGGCGGCCCGTGACTGGTCGGCACCTACCGGTTCGGGGTCGTTGGCAGCCCGCCGGGAAAAAAAAAAAAAAAAAACAGTCCAGAACCCCTAATAACCCCACAAACACCCCCATAGCAGCCCCCAATACCCCCATACAGGCCGGCCCAGTAGTTGGGAGGCAGCTACTCAGTTCATTCACCTGCCACCAGGCTGCACAAGCTGGCGCAGCCCAGCACTGGTGGAGGTGCAGAGGCAGCGTCAGAGGAGCTAGGGCGAAGTGCTGTAGGCGTTAGAGGAGGAGAGAGGTGAGGTTGAAAGAGTCCACTCTCACCTGGCGCCATATCCACCAAATGAGAGCGGGGAGGAGCATATTCATGAAAACAAGAGGAGGTTAAATCGTACCAGATAGTCCCAGAGTCGGGGCATGTACCGAAAAGATAGCCACCAGGCTTCAGTAATGCAGCTGCATTTCGCAAAAAATTGTGCAGCCTGTCCTCCGTGTGAAAACAATCCTGCAAAAAGAAGCCCGCAGAAAGGCCAGAGAAAACGATGTCTCAGTTATAATCCCACTAAATCACAAAGTCCCAGTAAAAAGTCCCAATAAATCACAAAGTCCCAGTTGTAATGACCTGCAAAATCACAGTGACTGTCTGAGAACTCTGCTGATTTCTGAGTTTTGACATTGGAAGGAGTGCTTTGCTGAGATTCCCGCTTCTGCTGAGATTTCTAAGTCTGTGTGTGTGTACGTGCTTGCTGGTTTCCGTGTGCCTGTCTGGGTGTATGTTGCCTGAGCGTGTCTGTGACCTGCCAGGGTACTTGTTTGTTTGGGAGGCCCTTGGGTCGGTCGGTACTTACCTTTGGCCGTGACTTGAGGGTTGCTGCAGGGAAAAACACTCTCATAGGGCGAGCAGAAGTAGACAAACAAGTAGTACCTTCCGGGGTAGAAGTCCGGTAGGTTGAGTCTACGCCACAACTGAGGGAGGACGGGGGAGGGGGGATGAGGGGAATGACGGGGGATGACTTGGGATGACGGGGGGGGGGGGGGGGGGTGAGGAGAGGGGAATAAGGGGTCTCCCATTATCTCCAACAGAGGTATCTACCCTCAAGGAAACCGGTGGGTCTCTGCTTTTATAATGGGTAAAAGGCATGGATGGGGAGAGGTAGGCGGGGGTAGGCGGGGGTAGGCGGGGGGGGGGGGGTGGGAAGGCCAAGGAGGGGAAGACTCTCGCCTTGGCGACGCGGTAGAGAAAGGGT